TTGAACACGTCGTAGTCTTTTCGATCGCCCCATACTGGCATCCCCCCGCGCGCCCCGCGGCGCTGCGGCCGCCCCTTTGGTGCTCTGCTGTCTTCCTGCACACTTGTCACGCGTGCGGAGCTACAGCTGTCACGTGCCGCGCTTGCATGTGGCGGCCTTGCTGCGTTCCTGCTCGCAACGCACACCGCCAGACGCGGCGGAGAGCTCGAGAGATCCACCTGCCAAAAGTTCCCCCGCTGTCGGGCTCTCAGGGCCCCCCACGGGCCCCGGGACTGTCGGATGGCGACCCCGCACGAAGATACCTCCTGGGGGAAGCCCTCGGGCCCGGGACCCGTTCCCCTCGGGGCCCGCCTCTCCCGTGCTCGCACCGCACACCGCCAGAGGCGGCGGAGAGCTCTCGAGAGCTCCACCCTCTCCAGAGCTCCCATCGGCGGCGCGCCGCCTCCCGGCGGCCCTCCGCGGGCCGAGCTCCCGCCGATCGCCCCCGCGTGGGCGCCCGTCGGCGGCGCGCGCTCGCCCGGGCGCTCCCGCGGGCGGGGCCGCCGGCGCCGCGCCCCCCTGGCCGCCGGGGCAGAGCAGCGCGTCGCTCGGGCCGGGCGAAAGGGGGGGATTGGGAAAGGGGGGGGTACGAAATTTGCTGCATGCAGCTGATTTCGGCCTCACCGAGGGGCCCAATTCCTCGATACATGGCCGCTCCCGGCGCCGGGAGGCGCCGGGAAAATCAGCTACGTGAGCTGATTCTCAAACCCCCCCTTTGCTATCCCCCCCTTTCGCCCGACCCGAGTCGCGTCGCCCGCGGGAGCGCAGGCCGAACGTCGCCAGGGGTGCCACCACTCACCGAGCGCCTTCCACTGCCTCGCAGAGGGCCTGCTCGCACACGCCTGACCAAAAGCGCGTGTCTGCGTCGACGTCATGTATCGTATAGGTCCCCCGCGGCGGATCCAGGCCGTTTGCGAGTGGCTACTCTGCGAGTCGTGGAGCGCGCTCGTCTAACCACCACCGGCCAGGGAGGTGGCCGTCCCGCCCCACCCTCTTCGAGCTGGCGGCACCTCGCCCTGGGCATGCCTCCAGGGAGAGTTCCCCGGGGGGTAGGTGCCGCCCGCTCGAGGGGGTGGGAGCGGCCACCCCCCCCCGAGCTGGTGGTATCAGGAGGGAACGAAACACACAGACACAATTAATCATAGATTCCGCAGAAAATATGGGAAAACATGGGAAGTGGGGGGGAAGACAAACACCCAGAAGATATGGAACATATGGGGGATCTGTTTATTTGTGTGTATTCATTTGTGTGCCCCAGGGCCCCTTCAAGGTAGGGGTACTCCTCGTCTCTCCCTCGAGACAGCCCGAGCGAGCGCCCTGGGACGGCTCGTGCCGCGCGGCGGGGGCGAGCGGGGTCGACGGCACCGACGCTGGCGCGGCGGTTGCCCGCGAAATGTACGCCTTAGGCGATGTTTAAGAAAACTTAAATTTTCGGCCAGGGTCTCGATTCTTCTTAATGTTTCAATGTAAATCCTAAGATTCGAATGGGAATTTTGGGTTTTTATTCAAGTGCTGAGACTATGAATTTCTTAACCCATGATTTCTTAAGCATTTCGCAGGGTGTACAGCGGAGCCCATGCCGAGAACACACACCCTCTTTGCCTCCGGGGTGCCCTGGATCTCTCGGGGTGCGATGGCTTTGGGACGGAGGGCGCGACGCTCCCACATCAGGAGGGGAACAACACACACAGACACAATTAACCGTCGATCCCCGGGAAAGTATGGGAAAATATGGGCAGTGGGGGGGAAGACAGAAACCCAGAAACTATAGGACCATATGGGGAATATTTTTATTTGTGTGCATTTATGTGTGTGTCCTGTGTCCTTTCGCGGGAGACCCGTGTCTCTTCTTAAGTCGGGCCTGTCCCTCCACAGGAGGAAGAATCACAGACAGTCCAAAAATATCTTGTGACGTTTTTTTGCTTGGTTTTGACAATTGCTGATTATTGTTGGATCTATTATTCGATGTTATGTATCTGTCGTTCAGAATCCGCCTGAAGGGGGACATGCCCGACCTGAGTCTCTTCGTCGCTCTCTGGATCACACATGCATCAAGGGATGAAAAAACACCCGGCCCGGACAATTGGCGTTTACCAAACGCTAAACGGCCCTGGGCGTTCACTAAACAGTCCTGCCCTGTTTGATTCCTTACGTGGGCGCGTTTACGAAACGACTTCGCGTGTCGGGGTGGTCATTATTAGGGTGGACTTTCTGACTCCTGATGCAGCAGCGAGGAGAACGCGTTGCGGAGAGCAGCACGCATCCAGCGCACCCCTCGCGCGCGCGATGCTACACGAGCGTGCGCGCGCGGCGCAGCCGGAGCGCATCCCTTCGCCCCTGGTGGGCCTCTCCCCTCGCGGGTCCGCACCTGACCAGCGGCCCCCGCCCCAGCGGGCGGCTTCCCGGGCAGGCAGGGGTCGCTCCAGGAGCTGGCAGAGCTCCAAAAAGACGGGGGTCGCCGCAAAGGGGGGTCAGACAGGACGCCGTATCTTGCAGGATCCTGCAGGGCCAGGGCCGCACTGACCCGGGCTCGGGTGCAGGATCCTGCAGGATCCTGCAGGATCCTTCGCATTGACCCGGGCTTGGGCGCAGGACCTTGCAGGATGTTGCAGAAGTCTGCAAGGCCTGACTGACCCGGGCCTGCATGGACCCTGGTCAGCAGATCCCCGCAGCGGGAAAAAGGTCGCCGTGCTCGGCGCCCGGGCAGCCGACTCCCTCCTGCAGCTGCCGCGGCCAGAGCGCTCGCTGGCGAAGCTGGCGCGGGCCTCGGCCACCTGCTGCCACCAGGCTGCGGGCGGCGCCGCCTGCGGGGCCCCGCTCGAGGAAAGCGGTCACCGCGCGTGCTCCTTGCGAGTCTGGCGGGGGCGCCGTGCGGCGCCACGGCTCCCGAGGAACGCCGCCGTGCTCCGCTCGTTGCCGCTTCCTCCTCCGTCTTCCCCGCCGGCGCGCCAGTCGGTGGCTGAAGCTTTGGGGCCCCGAGGGATGGGGTCCTCCGGGCGGGGTGCCCCAAACAGCGGAAGTTCAGCCTCGGGGCCCCACTTCGGAAGCATGCCGAGGGGCTAGGAGAAGACCGCACGGGCCAAGAGCGAGATGGATTGACAACCTCTGCGGGGTGTCGGCGCTCGCCTCGCCTCCGTGCCCCCACCTTTGAGCCCTCCCATCCGCGCGCAGGCCACCGGGGCCACCGGCGCGAGGCATCCACCGTGCAGCACCGGCGGGGCGCAGCGCCACGAGGCCCGCCCCGGCGTGCGCAGGGCTCGGCCCCTCGCAGCCGCACGCAGTGGTCGAGCGCGTCGCGCGGGCCGCAAGGCATGCGAGAACATCAAACTGGGCATGTCCCCCAACTGGAGGAGGCTTCAAAACGAGTCCAAGCATGGTCTGGTGACGACTTGTCGTGCTGCTACTTTCACACGACGCGCAGGTGTGGGACTCTGCTTTCTCTTTCTGTCGAAATCCGGCTGTAGGAGGACACGTTCGACCTAACTATCATAAGTTGGCGCCGTTCACTGTGTGGCCGCCCTTGCCGAGCAACGCTGGCCGAGCAGCGCGCGCGCAGCGCTCGTCGTCCCGTGCAAGCGCCCACCTTTTTCATGCGTACGTATAGATGTTCGCCCACTCGCCTCCATTGCCACCGCCCCCCTCGTCTCCCCAGATCCCTGTTGCGTGATATCCGGCCCTGGACCAAACCTCTTGGTGAATTTTGGAGGTCGCCGCGGCGATCGCGGTGGCCACGAGTCGGGCGAATTGCATGCCCTTTTTCCAGCCCCGCTCTGGGATGTAGACTTGGCTCTTACAGTCGTGGCACTGCCAGGAGGACAGCTAAGCAAGGAACGAAGCCTCTCTTTCAAAAATCTAGTCATATTTTTTTCCGGAGCGGCCGAGCCCCTTTTGGGAAGCGCTCTCTCGTCGTGGCCTTTCGTTTTAGAAGGGGCCTCTTTCTTGTGCCGAAGCCTAAGGAACGGGCGTCCGTGCTTCCGCGCAAAATTGTGAGGGACCGCAAGCAAACCCAAGGAACCACCGAGCCCATTTTTCGGCGCCGTGACTTTCATTCACCTAACCATCTAGTGACGGGGAGTTGTCAAGTTATGCCCAGCATGGGCAGCCATTTTTGTTTGGTTCGGGGTCCATTGTCACACAACCATACATCCTCCTCTTCCTTCCTGGCGCTGCTGCTGCTGCCTGTCCTCCTCGTCCTGCTCAGGCCAAGCGGGGGCGTCCCAGCGTTGCTCAGTTTTCCTCCACCTCTCGCTTTCATATAGCCCAAGACGGTGCACGCAGTTGTGTGGACTCGAGGCTACGACGGCCGCAGCGCGCTCCGCACGGATCGCTTTTTGAAACAGCGGGGCGCCTTTAGAGAAAGCGCAGCGCTCCCCGTCCTCTCTCGGTCGAGGCGCCCGCGCCGCCCCGCATGAAAGGCTCAATGATGGTTGCATCGGAATTGGTTCCCTGCCAGTTGAGCGACGCGACAACACGAGGTCGTCTTCACAGACAAATGGCGCGTGAGCTGCCCGCGTAAGGTCGCGTGTAGGCGGCCTCGTCTCCAATGTACAGTGGCGCGCTGGCAGCCTGCGTAAGCCGCGGCGTTTCGTCACCATGTCATCTCGCGTAAGATCCGTGCTTGATCGTCGCTCAGTTGATGGGGCAATGTCCCTGCATCTGTTGCACCCTGGACGCCGAAGGGTCCAGCATTCTTGTCCTGCATCCCGGCAGATGGCGGCGGCGGCGATGCCTCTCCTCTGCAGTGCCCGAGGTTCCGTTCCTTTCCACGTGCCCCTTGCCCTCCCCCCGCCCTGGACAGTCACAGGGGGGCCGTCGTGGATCGACGCGCTTCGTCATCGTCCCCCTCCTCCTTCCCAGCGGAGCTGCCAGGGCCTACGCAGCTGCACTGCCGCCTGCCGCCTCGCTCTGCTTCTCGCCGACCGCGTGTGCCTCGGCCGCTCGCGCGCCCACGCGCAGCCGCCATCCAACTCCTTCCCGCCCCCTCGCCCTCGCGTGCGCTCAAGCCCTTCCCCCACCTTGGCCTTGGAGGCTTTCTCCGAAGGGCGTAGGCGACCCGCCCTCCTCCTCCTCCGCCTCTTCCTCCTCCTCCTCCTCCTCCTCCTCCTTCCTCCTCCTCCTCAGCCTCTTCCTCCTCCTCCTCCTCCTCCTCCTCCTCCTCCTCCATCTCCTCCTCCTCATCCTCCACCTCCTCCTCTTCCTCTTCCTCCTCTTCCTCCTCCTCTTCGGGTCGCCTACGGCCCCGGGGGAAACCGTGCACCTGGCTTCCCTCGCGACTTGCATCGCGCCGTCCCAGTATCTCTTCTGCCTGCTGTCGTTCAGGCGCCTACGCGCAGCCGTAGTCCGCCTCCTTCCCGCCACTTCGCCCTGGCGTGCTCCGCGAAGCTCCCTGGCCTCCCTTGCGACTTGCCGCCCGGGTTCGAGCGATGTCTTTGTATCTCTTCTGCCTGCTGTTGCGTAGTCGCCCGCCCAGCCGGCCCGCCCCGCCTACCCGACCCTCCACACCCGCCCAGAGGCCCCCCTCGATTCTTCCCATACCTGCTCTCGGCGACTGCACAGGGTAAGGTCACGCCTGGGTGTGGTTTGCGATCGGCGCCCTTGGGGCTTGGGGGGCACGACGCTGTCCTTGGCGAGCCTCCTCGGGGCGCGACGGGGGGTCAGTTGCAAACCACACCCTCTGCACACCACACCCTTCGGAGTCGCCGATCCTCCCCCATACATCAGTTCCCCCCCTCTCATCCCCACGTCCTTCCCTCTCCCCCTCCTCTCGCAGACAGATGCGCTGGAGGGGAGGATAGGAAGAGGACCACCGAGGAGTGGAGGTAGGGGACAGGAGGAGGACCAGAGCCAGAGTAATTACAGCCACGCTGCATCAGCGAGTCCGCAATGCACCCTTTCGTCCCAAGTCCCCGCCTCACCAGTCTCTGATACTTCATACATACTACTCCTCGACTCGGGTATCAGCTACAGAGTTGATTCTCTCCAAACTTGCTGTCCCCGCCGGATATACCAGGAACGCATAGTATGTTTGTAGATCTACGGGGCAGTCTTCGCATTTGTTCTCAGATCCAGCGGGAAATCAAACCTGGGGTAAATCATTCCTGTGGTCGATCCCCTGCTCGAGTCCCTGTCCACGGCGGAACGCGTCCCCCCTTTTGCAGGAAGAGCGCCCCGTTGGCCCCGTCGGTCGGGCGCCAGCGCCGCGGGGAGCATCTGCTTCCTCCCCCCGGGCCTCCTAAGTGTGGTCGGAGAAGATTTGCGTCGGGCCTCTCCCTCTACAGGAGGAAGATTCAAGAACAGTTCAAAAAATAGTCTGGGGACGATTTTTCGATCATTGCTCAGCATTGTTTTCGTACTCTTGGGCTATGTTTTATCTTTCGTTCTAAATCCGCCTGTAGGAGGACATGCCCGACCTAAGAGCAGATGGGGTCGGGATATCGCGACGCATCGGCCGATGCATCGCCGATGTGATTCCGTTTGGAGCCCGATTTCCTCCGCGCCGACGGCGCCGATGCATCGCCGACGTCGTTGGTGCATCGCCGATGCATCGGCGACGCGGCGCGATCCTCCGACCCCCTCTGCTCCGACCCCACCTGGGAGGCCTCTACCTCCGCCCATCTAGCTACAGCACAGCACAGCACAGCAAATAGATATGATGGTTACGATGCCCGCCCGAGCTTACAGCAACCAGCCATCCTTTACCGAGCTCACCATCTGATGATGGCGATCATCAAATCTAGCCATCCGCCCGAACTCAAAACACCTCAAAGATCTATGAGGATGGCGCAGGCCGAAGAAGTGTCCAGCGGCAGCTTCATTATTTTGGAAAGGGCGCCCCCTTCATCCGCGAAGCCGCTGCGCGTGTGCTACTGGCCACCAGATCTGAAGTCGCCTGCGCGCGTGAGCTTTACTTCATATTCGCGGCCCTCCTGCCGTGCAACTATGGTGCGATTGTGAAACGAATGCTTGCGTCGCAAAAGCGATAGCCGCATGTTCAATTTCACCCGTCCTTCACCCGTGTAAGTATTGGAAGTTTGTGCCAAAGGAACCTTCATTGTTTTGTATCCGTGTAGTCGATTGACGAGTTCTAGACGAATGTGCGCGCCCACTGGAGTCCGAAATCTCGCATCTTGTTGACTTGTTGTGGCATTACTGGGGTGCTAGTCGGGGCGTTTGGGAAGTCTTTAGGCCTTTCTTGGCTTCTCTTGGGGATCTCTTGCGCGATGTTGAAGGTATCCTTTGGCCTTCGAAGCCAATCGGAAGCGAACAGGCGAGAAGGCACACACCATTGAAACTTTCCAGATGCGTCAATGAGTGTGGCTTCTCGGGGACATGCTGGTGAGGCTCTGTGGCCTGTTAGAGCCGTCTTAGGGCTCCTTGGAGGCATGCTGGAGGCCATCTTGGACTGCTCTGTACAACCTTGGACGCCATTTTGGCTTGCCCGAGAACATGTTGGAGCCATCATGGACGCTCCGACCGCTCGTGACGGGAGCCCGCCCAGACCCAAGGGAGGAGAACGGCGAGGGGAGCTCCCAACGTAAGGGGATCGCCACAAGCTGCCTCGCTGACTGGAACTCGCTCTCCCGCCTGGCACGTTGCACCCGAGGCTCAGCTCAGGAGCGGGCCCCCATCGGAGGGACGCGCAGCCATTGGGAACCAATGCAGACGCCAGGTGCGCGACCTCGCGAGGTGCGCCACGCGTGCCAGGTGCGCCGCGCGCACCGGATGCGTCAGGTGCACCAGGGGCCCAAGCGTGCCGAGGGGTGCCGGATGCGCCACGTGCTCCACTGGCGCCAAGTGTGCCACATGCTCCAGACGCGCCGGGTGCAACAGGTGCGATACGCACGCAGAGTGCAGCATGTGCGCCAGCACGCGTGACGGCACTCGTCGGGCAATATGTCGACTTCCCCGATCCTTGTCGGAACCCACTGCAAAGTTGCAACGAGGTTGTCAGTAATGTGTACAGTGTGTGTGTGTGTGTGTGTGCGCCCGCGTTTAGGGATTCTGGGCCAGCACAGCGGTCAGATATGATCTCCCCCCTACCCACGTCTAAACCTAAGTGATCGCAGGGGACCCTCTCCTGATCCGCATGGTTCTGATCAGCGGCCATTCGAGACGGCGATGGGGTGCTCATTGATACGGAACAGTGACGATCCCTTCCCGACTGGGAGGAAGGTGGATGGAAGAAGAAAGAAGCAGGAACACTCTAAACCACACGCGAGAGGGCTGGTAGGATTTCAAGCCCCAGGATTGTATCCGATAAGGATTTATCAGGCGACCTGCCACGCCTTAAGTGCTGCGACGAGGAGGAGTGGCTTACGGGGGACGGGGTTGGAGGAAGACGAGGAAGAAGGGTGAGAGACATCAGGGTGGGAGGAGGACAGGAAGGAGAGGAGCAGAAGGCCGGAAGGGAGGAGGGGGAGCACGGAGGGGAGCACGGAAGAATCCCACAGAGGATCGGAATCTTCGGAATTTCCGACGGGTCCCAAATTCGCCGCCCTTCCCCTCGGCCCCAGCATGCGCGACGACGACGACGACGAGGACGACGACGTCGACGACGACGGGGATGGCGACGGCGACGGCGACGGCGACGGCGACGACGATGGCGACGACTACGACAGCGACGGCGGCGGCGACGACGACGACGGCCACGGCGGCGGCGACGACACCGACTGCCGGGCCCCCAGGGCGCCGAACGCCCGCTCGCGCCGCCGTGCCCCGAGGACGGGCCCGTGCCTGGGCCGTCGCCGAGGCCGCCGCCGTCGTCGTCGTCGTCGCCGCCGCCGTCGTCGTCGTCGTCGTCGTCGTCGTCGTCGTCCTTCTCTTCCCCCCCCTCCCGCTTCGGGGTCCTCGTGGCCTCGCGTCGGACATTCCTCCCCCGTCCTCGTCCGTCCGCTGTGCCCCTCCTCCCGGCGGGGCCAGGCGACGTTCAACGGGCCAGCTCCCTCTCCCCCCTCCTTTCCTCGGCCTCCGTCCTTCGTTCTCCTGTCTCCTCCTGCCTCCTTCGTTCCCACTTCCTACCTCTCTCCTCCCTCTCCCCTCCATCTACTTCCTCCCTCCCTCCCTCCCTCCATCCTTCCATCCCTCCATCTCGTCCCCCTAATTACTTCCTTTCTCTTCTTCTTAGTCTGATATCCCGCCTCGTCCCTCCTTCCATTTTCCATCCACCATCACCCGTATTCACTTCTCCGTCCTATGTTTGGAAGGCCTTACGGCTGGTGCCGCCGACCTTGGAAGAAGGCCCCCATGATGAAGGTGACAGCCAGAGGTGTGCGGAAAGATTGGGACCAGACGCTTTGAAGAGTTCCCCTGAAGCTCCATGATGTTCCCAAGAAGCGTATGCTGAGGAACACAGCTTGGCCAAGCTATCTGCCTATGTGCTCTCGCAGCCACTGGGGACGGACGAGGGGAGGAATCACGAGAGGGAGGAAGAGGATGAGGCGGAGGAGGAGGATGAGGAGGAGGAGGAGGAGAAGGAGGAGGAGGAGGAGGAGGGGGAGGAGGGGGGGGAGCAGGAGGAGGAGGAGGAGGAGGAGAGGAGGAGGAGGGGGGGGGAGGAGTACGAGGAGGACAACACCAAGGAGGAGGAGGAGGAGGAGGAGGAGGAGGAGGAGGAAGAGGAGGAGGAGGAAGAGACATCTTGGGAGCCCTTTCGGTGCTCTTGCAGCCTCCTCAGGCTTCATGGTGGCCGCTTGTCGCCATCCCAGACCGTCTAGGAGTTATTGTTGGGCCATCTTAGGTCAGATGGGGTCTTCTTGTCGTCTTTGAGGGCAGTTTGGATCGTCTTGGCGGCAATGCAGCGCTATCCTGACCATGTAGGATGCGAGCCTGGTCGTCTCTTGGAGAATGATTTGGGGGCCCTCTGGGGGCTCTCTTGGGGCGTTCGGGCGAGCTCAGGCCCCTCTTGGATTATCGAAGACGCCTACGGCGAGTCACCGCCGCCCCCTGCCTCTTGGAATCGTCC